AGCAAAATTTGGCAAGTTACTAGTTATACCTAAAATACCTCTCTTTAAAATAACATACCATCATCATTAGGGCTTGTACTGAGGTACATAAAAAAATTGTTGGACCAGCTACAAATTTGAATCACAAAGTTTAAAAATGAAATTTTAATTTGCATATTTTGAGTTTTTTGTTATATATATATACCTATTTGAAAATGAAATTGTATTTTACTGCATAATTATGTTGTTTAAAAAAAATTATATTTCATGAAAATGTCAGAATTTGATTATATTTTAAAATACGGCTCTATGAAAATCAAAAAATAAAAATGTCACCAGGAAAAACATAAACCTGTTTTAAAGTGGGCGATACTTTAATATAATATTGTTTATATCCCGATAATATCTCAGGTTAAATTAAATTTAAATTATTGAATTTTCGAATACACTACCAAACAGTGGACTATTATGTTTACTTATGGAAGCCATCAGTAATTTYAAGTATTCATGAAAAGATTTAATGAATTATTTTATATTTTTCCGCGTCTAAATATATAATGTTGCCATGTTGGCTACCACATTAGAACAATGTTGTTCTAAGCTTAGAGAGTTTGATCACATGGTTTAATTGTAGTTCTTAAATTATTGTATTTAGTTGTATTTATAAGGTTTATACAACACTTTTCATATAATTTTGATATTTACATTTTGATAGTTTTTAATGCATGCACTTTTGAGCCTTAGTCATTATCTCATAAATCAGCCATCAATTTGATTTGAATATTGGAAAGTTAAAGGGAATATGTTAAACTGATAGAGAGTTTAAGAATCTTACAAAATAATAGACAATAGGCATATGAGGTATTCCACAAAAWAAAGAGAAACTGAAAGTACTGAATTACACAAATCTAAAGAATAATTAAAAGGGTAGGTACTTGTTATTTGTCAATAATAAATAAGAAAATATCAAGCTTATAAAGGCAACAATTTACTACAAATAAATATGGTGTGTACGATAAGTGAGAATAAAAGTTAACATATAAGATGCACAGTGAAATTTTAGTACAACAAATTATTTTTGAGAACCATGACCTTCATTGAATCATGTGGAAATTCTATTAAACAATTTTCTCTACAATACCTGTTTTTTTTTTGTTTCCTAAAAGACTTTGATATATAGAAGTTTCAAAGTGTTTATGTATTACAAATAACTAGAATACAGAAAATTAATTAATATGAACGATTTTTTTTAATAATGTATTATTAATAATTATTGTTTGTAGTGAAACTCATATGGGAAAATTAAATTGTTTTAACTTCAGATTATCAAGAAATTAATAGATGACTAGTACCTATCTACTTATATAAAATGACAAACATTTAATGATTACTATATTAATTAATTTTTACCTGATTAAAGCCAATTCAAAATGGCCTAGATTATACATAGTCAAGCCCACTTTCCAATGACCATATGCATTCTCAGGATTCCAAAGAATTGCGCAAGTAAATGCGTTTCTTGCATTTTCTTGATCATCATTTTCTAAATATAATTCACCCAATGACATACAAGTAACAGACGCATTTAGATGATCATTAGACTTCCAGTATGCAGTAAAGAGATTCTTGTAAAGGTCTTTCCTTTCTGGATTTAGCTGGATACATTTTTTAAAATATATTATAGCTTCTTGATAATTTTTAAGGTTGTGCAAATATATCAAAGCCAAATCTAAATTAAAATCAAAGTTTTCAGGTTGAAGTTTTAAGCACTTTTTGAATACTTCCACAGACATTATCATATTTTCTTGATAACAGTATGTAACTGCTAAATTTCTTAAAACAAACACATTTTCTGATTCTAAATCTAGTGCTTTTAGAAATTCATCAACTGCTTTTGGTAACTCTTTAACTTTTAGATAAGCCATTCCCAAACTAATATGAGTATCCTTTAGATCAGAATTAATTTCTAAAGCTTTTTCATAGTTAGAAATAGCTTTTTCAAATTTACAGTTCATATAATTAAGATCTCCTAAATWACTTAAAGTTTCTGGACATTCTGTTGCACTTTCGAGGGCAATCTTAAATTGCTTTTTAGCATATTTTATTTTGTTTAATTTTAATAGCAATTTTCCAAATGCATTACGTACTTTATATAATTTGGGGTTTAGACTTAAAACCCGTTC